GGCATTATGCAGGGGTGTGCCCAGTGTGGAGGTGGAGCCCTGGTAGAAAGGTAACCCCTTGTCTTTGTAGTCCCAGCTGTCCTGGCTTCCAGCACTTGAGCCCCAGCTGGGCAGGTCCTATAAAGGCACACTGGACACCCTCTGAGAGGAGCAGAGCCACCCCTGGATGATGGTGTTTTTGCACCATCAGTCCTGCTGAGGATTGTACCCGTCTTAGGTTTTCATCTTCTGTTTTGCCTGTCCCTTTATGCCCTTTCATAGGGGCAGGCAAACTCATGCATCTTGTTATGCACAGACTGGACCCCACTGAATAGCAAATGTCCAGTCTGGTGACTGCTGTGCCAGCAGTTTTTGCCCAAAGCTGGACCCTATTAGGTAGGAAAAGCCCAGCTTTTAGGTAACATGGCAGTCGCTTACTTTATTTTCTCACTTTTTGTATTGTTTTTGTTCCCAGTTAACCTCACACTAGTGTTTGTCTCCTCAGCTGGGCTGTTGACTTTTTACTGGTGCTCTCCGTGGTGCCTCCTACTATACACTTTCATTTAAGAGTAATTGCTGTATAATTTCAGTTTTCCATTCCATTTCAAGTGAAAATGTCTGAAAAGCACTTTACTTAAGTACGTTGTGTAGTATATCAGGTTTACTGTATTTGCGGTGAATTGGGCTGCTGGCATTACTAAATACTAAAATTACTAAATAGTAGGTTCACTGTTTTTATATGACTGCAAAAAAGACACACTGTGTTCAAACCACAAGCAAGTTAAAAATAAGTTTAGATAGTAAAAATTCTTAATGTATGAAAAAGGGTAAAGCACGCTACATTACGGTCCATGAGCAGTCGTTTGGGGGCTGGTTAGCTCAATTGGTAAGCATGTAGTGCTGATAACACTGAGGTTGTGGGTTCAATCCCCATATGGGCCAAGAAATCCCCTTTTCCTCTGGGCAGTGTTGTGGCTCTGTGGCTGGCAGAGGAGTCCTATGCCATTGGGCTCCTGAGTGAACCCCCAACTGCTCTGGGGACACTAAAAATGGCTGACCCTGCGCTCTGACCCCCAGCTTCTCTCCCTGTCTTTGTGTCTCATGGAGAGCAAGTTGGGGTCTACGAAAAGACAAATTCCTAATATCAAAAAATCATATATGGCCAATGCAGTGATCTTATCTATTTTCCATTACCTCGATAGGGACACTAAAAGTTTTAATAATTAAATGTCAAATTGTTTCCAAAACATCACAGTTCCATATTTAAATTATCATCAAGTGGTATTAATTCAGTACCACTTTTTTATAATAAC